CAAGCTGTTTTTTCCCTTGTTCAGGAGATTACATGGGTTGTTGCTCCATCTGACCCCGCTGGTCAAACGGCCATTGCAGGCCTCGCAGAACTTAATAGAGTTTAAAATTTACTCACCCACTTTGCCATGAGGCGCAACGTGTAAGAAGGATCTCTTTCTCTTTCTTTCTTTCTTTCTTTCTTTCTTACAATAAATTGTATTTAAAAATAGATTTAAATAAAATAAAAGTTGTTTTAATATGTTGTAATATGCAGCATTGGTGAGCATGAGAGACAAAAAACATTAGAAGCTTATTAGATCAAGTCCTCTCTATCAAAACCCTTCAACTTTAACCTAAGATGAGAAAAAGAGACCGAGAAAGAGCAGGCGTTTTGTCACATTGACTCAGAGGTTTACCTGGTGCTTTTCTGTAAAAAGGATGCCAGCTGTTTAGATTCGCACACAAAGATACAATCAACACAAATAGTGGAGCGGTAACGCGGTTTCCTGCCTCCCCACATGGCTCCAAGTGGAGGCAGCCTGCCGGAAAATCACTTGTTTAGATGACAAACACTGCAATCCCCTGCAATCCACACATTCTCCATGTCTCCTTCCTGCTGCCCCCCAAGTTACAGAGTCTTAAGTCTGCCCCGCTGTGCTGCTGAGTGTTTTATAATGGGCTTAAATATTATTGATCGCTCCTAAAATGATAAGAATGAAACTGTAAACAATAACTGAACTATAAGGCCTTTTCCATATATGCCAAACATATAAAAACGTGGGATACGGTATTTAATGAAAGAAGTATATTGCATTTACTTAATCTTAAACTTCCACTTAATTTAGAGTTTAAATATAAACTATAAATATCATTGATTGCATGAATTTAAGGTTTACAGATATCCGCAAAATGAAAATAATATCAATTCTGATTGATGCTTATATATGTAATTGCCAATAACCGATAAAAGACCAATATTAGTCTGTTATATAGGTCTATAGTCAATTCAAGTCACATTTATTTATTCAATCCAGTTATTTATTAAATTCAATTATTCAATTCTGCTATTTCAATTCAGTTCTATTGCTGTGTCAATGCAGCATTTCATCAATTTTGAAACACGTACAGTTCAAATATAAGCAGTTTTACAGAAGGCAATAGTGGCATTATTCAGTTCAATTCAGTTCACTGTTGATTCAATTCAGTTCAGTAACAGTGCCAATGTGGCAAATTTAGAGTCATTATCTGGCTCAATTCAGTTCAAATTTTGTTCTCATCCGATAGTGTTAGTGCAGTAAAATTGGTAATATTACTGAATATGAATTGCCTTTTAAATCCCAATTGAGCAAGCCAGAGGCCACAGTGGCAAATACACTCAAAAAAAATGCTGGGTTAAATATAACCCAGCATTTTTTAGAGTGTAACAACAATTTCAAAACTAAATCAATTAAAAATAGCTAAAACTTAAAACTAAACTCATTGTTTTTAAAAGCTAAAATGTATGCATAAATTCACAACATTATAAAGTACTTAATGTGAGACATAAGATTTATGAAGTACAGCATGTAAAATACATATTCATATGTTAGATGATGACAAATCTGAATGTTAAAATCTAAGAAATTAGCTTGAAATATTAGAAAATATCCAATATGAGTCAATAATGACCAATTCAAAAGCAAATAGACTACAATTTGGCGGATGTGAGCATGAAGCCACATGTACACTTCATCTTTAAGATACTTGCTCTAAGACAATGTTTGACTCTCTTCTCACGTTAAGCTAGGAAATGAGCTAAAGCAGATTCAGATGTCAGTGGATCACTGAAGATGATCCTGTATGTATCAGCTCATATAATTCACCGGCCTTCTTATCGTTCCAGGAGAATGCATTTCATCTACTCCGTCAGAGAGAGAGTGAAGGGGAGAGAAAGAGAGAGTGTTTGCCCTCAGATAGGGTGAGAGGATTATCTATGAATTCAATCCCTGCTTGATATTGCCATCCTTGTCCATCTCTCTCTCGTGTGCGTCTTCTCTCTGCATCTCAGAAATACATGTTTTTATTATCTGAAGATGTTAGTCCGAGATAAGATGCTCCCTACGCAGACACCTTTCCTGCAATCACAAAGCTATTCTGCTTTTCTATTTAACAGAATAAGCATTCACAGTGTGACTGGGTTACTTGGCAGGAAATAGCAAGCGATTTGAAATTTTACTAATGCGCGACAATAAAAAGGATGACCGCATTAGACGAAGCGTCAAGAAATAATTTGCGGTTGTTTTAAAGTAGCGTCTCCATGCTGCCTCTGCATACAGAAGAATCATTTGCAAATCTCTTGACAAATTCTGAAGATGAAAGGCTGAAATGTCCTGAAGTCTCTGAGAGCTTTTACCTCGCACAATAGCCACATGGTGAGGCATTGAGGAGCTAAAATCGTTGCCCTTAACATTTTGGGTCGCTGATATTATCAACTGGCACTTGACTTTTGCAGAAGGACAAAGAAACGCCGGCCACAAAGAGGCGATTTCTGTGATTAGTGATAAAAAAGGGTGACTTTCAGTCCAGGGGACATAGTATCAATCTCAGCCAATTTTAGGCCACCAACATGAAATATGATTTCATAAGACAAATGCAGTGTCATTCTTAATGTGCTTAACCTTTACTGTCAATGAAAAAGTATCGATCGCTCTGTGGTATTTTCTCATCATTTGATTTCAGAGAGCCTGGTAATATATGATGGTGTGATAAGATGAAAGATGAATGGCAGCTGAATGCTCTCACTTTAACAAAGCTGAATGGCCCCCGCTGAGAGATGGGGGGTGAGGACAGAGGAGACAGGAAACAGGAGGAGAATATGGGCTGAAATTTGTTAGACATGGTTACTTCCTTAGTTCCTTCTGCTACTTCTTTAGTTCACCCAAAATTTTAGATGCTATCATCATTTACTCATCCTTGTGTCATTCCAAACCTTCCTTTTCCACAAAATAAAAAGGAAAGAATGCTCTGGCAATGCTTCATAAGTGTGCTAAAGGATTGATTTATTGAGTCAAAGAGTCAAACTCGAGAACCGGATCAGTCTGATTCTGTTGATTAACTAACGGATTTGTTTGAAATGTTTGTGATTCACTACATTCACTATGGAGCTCTCTCTCTCTCTCTCTCTCTCTCTCTCTCTCTATACAGTATATTTATATCTATATACGTATATATATCTATGTCTGTCTGTCTGTCTATCTATCTAAAGAAATTAATACTTTAATTCTGCATGCATTTTAAATTGATAAAAAGTGACAGTAAATACATTTAGCATTAATGTTATAAATAATTTCTATTTCAAATAAATACTGTACTTTTGAACTTTCCATTTGTTAAAGAATCCTGAGAAAAAAAAACTGTCATGGTTTCTACAAAAATTAAAGCACAACTGCTTTTAACATTGATAATAATGTTTCTTGTGCACCAAATCAGCATATTAGAATGATTTCTGAAGGATCAAGTCATTCAGATTTGCCATCAGAGAAATATATTTTATAAATGTTAAATTGTTTAAAATATATGTATACTTAAATAGAAATAGTTGTTTTAAACTGTAATAAAATTTCTCAATAATACTCTTTTTTTACTGTGCATAAGAGACTTAATTGGTTAAAAATTTGATTAAATTAATTTGGTAAACAGCGACCAATGTATTATTTAAAATTTCTCTGTTCATGTTATACAGAAGAAAGTAAGTCATACAGATTTAGAATGCTGTTAGGGTGAATAAATGATGAATTTTAATTACAGGGTGAGCTATCCCTTTAAAGCACAGTGGCATCAAAAATATCATCACCGAACACCTGTGAACTCTTGTTCTGACAGCATCTTTTGGGATTACACGCTTCGTGATTCATAGCAAAAGCAAACTCAGAACTTGTCAAAAAAGAATAGCAATTTGATTTCAGAAATAACCTGCTGTCTATATCACTGTTGACTGCCATTAGGATATGCTGTCTTTTTTACTCTTTTTGTCTGCTGTCACCGCGCCTGTTCTCCTCTGTCTGCTCAGAGCGCTGTTTCCATTACTGCCTCATTGTGATGAGTAATTGGGGAGTCTGTGTGCAGTCCTGCGTGAGCTCTTGATCTACTTAAAGAACCTAATAAGCCTGTATTCTGCAGCCCTGCAACCAAATAAGCACTGCATTCACCCGGCTTATTAGGAGGTTAGCTTGATTTATTCACCTGTTCGTTTGTGTGTGTGCTGGCGTGTATGTTTTTGACAATGGCAAATCGCTACAATGAGGAGAAATCAACCACAGGGGTTAAAATGAGAGTAAAACATGGCAAAAAATGAAAGTAAAACTCGATCTATATCTATCTGTCTATATGTCTGTCTGTCTGTCAATCATCTGTCTATTTGTCTAGCTCTAGCGATCTGTTTATCTATTTGACTAGGTAGTTTTTATCCAAAGTGACAGAAAAAAGCATATTGTCATTAGTGGTTATCTTTTTATTTAAAAAAGGGTGGGGGTGGGGGGACTCATTAGCTGCATTTTTCCTTTTATGATTTTTTTTAGCTGCATTTTTCTTTTTATGTTTTTCCCCTTTTTTCTCTCTCTTTTTTTTAACAATGAAACCACATGTTCATTTATTTTTGCTCTTTAGGTTATTTTCCTTATTATAAAAAAAGTTAATTGTCTTATTTACTGGGCATGTACATTGCAGTTTGCTGAATGAATGAATGAACGCCTTTTCAAATAAAAGTGATTTATATAATGATGTATATTATAATAGTTTTCCATGGTTATCTATTAATCCATGAAGCACCTTCATTCTTTATTTTTAATCCAGAGTGCTCAAAAGATTGATGCACTGTATTTCAGTTCTTGTTTAACTTAAGAATAATGTATTATATTAGGTATAAATGTACCCGTTTAATTTAAAGCTGTCACCTCATTTAAGATCTTTATGAAAAATGCCTCTGACTTACTGTAATCAATCAACTAAATCATTGGTTTTTTAATTTTGTTCACTTCCTCAGCTCAACCCTCTGGCCAGTCAGGCAGCGGTTGCCGCAGCAGCAGCAGCAGCAGCCATGGGTTCAATTGCCGGGTCACAGGTGTTTGGTAATGCTCTCTCCAGCCTGCAGGGGGTCACTGGACAACTGGTCACCAATGCACAAGGACAGGTACCTACATACAGTACACACACGCAGCACATTTAAAAGATGTGCACATATGAAATGCACATGTAAGCTGAAGTCTGCCTCACATTAATCACAGGACTGCCAAGTCGAAGGACAAGTAAACATTCTTCTGAAATGGTCTGAACATGATTTCCTTTATTAGTATAATGTAACCCAGATACTCAAATCCAGTCTTCAGTACTGACCTTCGTGCCCCGTCTTTAGCCCCGATAGAGCGAGCCCGAGAGGGGTGTTGTGTTTAGATTGGACAGCAGTGTGGGAGTGCAGGGGATAAAATGCTGACCTTGTCATATTTACGGGGCCGGCTGCAGAATTGTTCCATCAGTATCCAGAGGCTTGAACGATGAGGCTTGTCAGACCAGGGCCTTATCTAATGAATCATCTTATCGCAGGTGCGCACCGTTCCCATATTAAAGGAAAGATTGTATAGCCAATGTGCCCTTTCACGCTACAGACGGCATTATTTACGTTAACCCTTGTCTCATTCCCCTCCTCTCATTGACACTTTCTCTTCTGTAATACGACAGAAAGCATTGTTTGAGAAATCGCACGCTGGGGGCCTCTTTATGTAGCCTACCCGCTCATATTAAAGGCTTTATGGATGCTTTTAACAGTTTTGGCTGTAAATGTAATCAAAAATGTCTAATGACGTTTTATATGTTAAAGGAACCTTATAATCGTGCCCAGTGAGGGCAGTAAAATAAATCGACTTATCAACTTTCAAAAGCGAGGAGAAAATGGTCTCCATATCTTTTGTTGTTGACGTCAAAGGCAGTGCGTCAAAACCAACTCATCTATAATCTAGTAGAAACTGGCAGATGCAAATAAAGCAGATGCATCTGTATATATACAGTACATTTGTTACACAAAAATATATCTAATAAACATATAATACTGTTCAGTTTGTGGTCAGATATTTTTTTAATAAATTCTTAAATTACTTTTATTCAGCAAGGATGCATTAAAGTATTTTTTTTTAATTGGGCCTTAGTTAACATTAACTAACAATACATTTTTTTTTTCTGTTTTAACATACCTTAAAATAAAATTGATTCCTGTGGTTGCAAAGCTGAATCTTCAGAGTCACTTGACATAATCCTTCAGAAATCATTCAAATATTTTGATTTATTGTCACTGCTGGAAAGAGTTGTGCCTGCCTTTTTTTTGGAACATTTAAAAAGTTGAAAAGAATAGAATTTAGTATAGTTTAGTACTTATAACAGTATAAGTCTTCGCTATCATTTTTGAACAATTTAACATCCTTGCTGAATAGAAGTATTAAAGACGTTCCAAAAAAAAGTACAGATAAAAGCCATATATACTGTATATAACTTTAATTTTACATTTCTTTTTTTGGTACGTTCTTTTTTCTTTTTCCATTTTGGTACTACTTTTCCCCCCACCTATTTACTTTTTTTTTTTTTGTGAATGTTGAGCTTTTAACCAAAGACAGATCTCTATCACTACGTGATAGACAATACAATTATTTGAATCTTGAATTAAGAACTACTGTTTTCAGGTATAACCTTTTGATTAATATTTTTATGTTTTATGTACAATTGAATTGAGATCCATGCACAGTTCTTGTCTATATGAAAAATAAATGATATTCCCTACTTGTTCGGTGTATGATAAATTGTCACTCATATGAGATGCCGCCAAGTGTGCAGACGTTACCTAACGAACTGGTATGGCCTTGTCTATACTGAAGGTGCCTGCAGGGCTTGGCTGGACGTATCGGCATGGCGATGCCGTTGATGGGATGCGCTGTGTGTTTGTAGTGTCGTGGCGGCTGACACTGGCTGACATAATCAGGTCACTGAGACGGTCAAAGCCCAGGGCTACAGGCTCTGCTCTCGACCTTATTACTGACGCACTTTATTCAGTTTGAGCCTGCTAAAACACCCACCACCCTTTTGAGCCTCATCCCCCGTCCTTCTTTTACTTTTAACATTAAAATGATACTAATACAGGCCCCAGACGTGGCCAGGGGAACAGCAGATGCTGCCACAGAACAAAAAAAAAAAAAAAGGAAAAGGTTGGAGTAAAGGGATGAGGCAATGTGTTACTTTAGACTGAAGCACTCTTTGTTTGGTTAGGGTGTTGATTTAGCTCTTAGGCATTAATGTTGGCCAGATATTAGATTACTAAAATAACACAAATGTGGCTGTGTTGCTTGAAGCTCAGTCTATAAGTAGTAGAGTTTTCCCTCAGCTGCCACACAGCTGAATATTGTCTCATTTGGGATGAGAGATTGCAACAGTGTCTTAGATAAGGATGCATATAGTGTTTGTGGAGGATTGAGTGTTAGTCGACATTTGAAAAAGGAAGTAAATAGTGAATGTTGCTGCATTTGAGCAGGCCTGCTGTGATTTTTAATGTTTAATGTAATTAATGTTATTTGATCTAACTGGAATAAATGTGCAGTTTCAATTTCAGTCACAATTCGCCATTCAAATAAGGAAAATATGAGAATGTTAACAAATACAAATCAAGGATTACATGCATAATGGTAAAAAAAAGCAAAAAAACATTCTTGGTCATTAGAGTTTCATACATAGTAAATGTAGTCATAGGATGAGAAGTCACTTTATTTCTGTGGAAAGAGAAAATATGTCGAAAAATATACACAAAAACTACTAAGGTACACAAAGACAGGCAAATGTCTTCCTTCATGTGAAATGAAGGCCTGTAGGTTTTATCAGACTGCATATATTATTATATTATATACATTTATTTTAAATTTTATATTATAATATTTACATATATACAAGATTAAAGTAGGAAAAACAGATAAATATTTTTATTTAAAAAATATAATTTTCACAGCCTTAACATATCAGCCTATTTATGTTTCTGAGTAAAATATAAAAATAATGTATTATGCTTACACAGTAAGTGACGTGCAAAACAAACAATTAAAACATTAATCGCATATGTTTGTTTGAAAATTTATCGTCAGCTCAGAATTTATGATTGTGACAGGCCATTATCTGAAAATAGCACGCATTCAAGTGAAGTTTATTACTTGGATATAACTTAGCCTGATATGTTTATCTGTAAAATGTATAATTTTACAAATAATTATGTTTAAAAATGTCTTATGGAGAGAGAGCGAGAGGGGCAAAGTTAACATTTCTCATTGCAAAACCGAAAAATGTAAGGACTTAACCATTATAAAAGGGGGGACTGTGAAAACATTAAATTTTTTAGCCTATTGTATTTTCGCAGATGGGACGGGGTCTGAATAAAGCAAACATTACAGCAGTATTTGCTAAAACGTTCCTCTTCCATCCATTCTCATGTCTAGTCATTCATCTTTTTTTTTTTGTTCTTAGGATCAAATGAACCTACTTATACAGATTTATGAGGAACATGTCAACTCTAACATGTCAGATGTTGATGTAAACCGTTTTAAACTTAATTTGTCATTCTGCATTTTTTTTTATAGCTTAGCTGCTTTATTTTGGACAAACATTATACATTGTAATTTCAACTCACATCAATTTAACAATGTAAAGGGTTAGTTTACCCAAAAATTACAATTCTGTTATCCCGCATATCGTTCCAAATCTGTACGACTTTCTTCTGTGGAATATAAGGGAAGACATTTTGAAAAATGACTGTTATTGGGATCTGAAACAACACTGGATAAAATTAACTTCTTTCATGTTCCACAGAAGAAAGCAAGGCATTCCAATTTGGAACTACATGAGGAATAACTGAATTTTCAGTTTTGGGTGAACTATCCTTTAAAGTTTAGTTTCTTCCCTGAAATCATTTTTTATCCTAATTTAGCTTCTATATGTTCCGTGTTAATCACGAAGTTGATATTACTACTCTTGGCATATCCCTATTAAAATGATCTGTACAGATCAAAGAGCCAATAAATAAAAATATTCAACTAGACACACGTACATGTAGCAAACAATAAAACAACAACAGTAATCTGCATAATTTAGTTTTGGCATGTCTTGTGCTGGAAAGTACAGCAAGAGTACACAAAGTGCAGGCCTAACAGCATAACTGATTAAACTAGTGAAAGAAATCAAATTGAAACTCTGAAACCTCATAAAATCATATAGAAATGGCAGAAATGATTGACACTGTTTTTTACAGAGCAGTTTTGGTTTGCGGTTAATGCAGTTGCTGGTGTAAAAACAAGTCTTGTATCCCACAGTAAGCTGTGAACAGGGCTATTATTCAGAGCAGCCCGGGACAGTATGTAGCTGTCAGCTCGTGTGCTGTATTATTGCTTGTGTTAGAGCAGCCACTTAGTCCAATGAGAGTGAATAATTGAGCGGAACAAGCCCTGAGACAAGACAGCATGCAAATGCCATGTCGGGGGACACGAGCGCCACACCGCACAATAAAATATGCTAAGTGGCAGGAGAAAGGGCCGCGGAGGATTGAGAGAGAGCGATAAAGAGCGACGGAAGGAGGGAGGGAGAGAGAGATAAATTATCTGACGCTTAATGCGAAGCAACGCAACCAAATGAGCCGTGCTGAGGGTGAATTACACATAGTCAGCCCTCCTTTTTTCCACCGCTCCATCGTCATTATGTCAAAGAGAGGAGGGAACAGGCGGAGGAGAGGAACGGTCAGAGATTATACAGATGCAGAGCTTGTTAGCGCAGCTGGGGGTCCGCTGGCAGGCGAGGGTAAATTATACGCAATAGATCAATGGTGCTTTTTCAGTCTAGGTGGTATATCAGACATGTGCACACACATATACACACACACACTAAGGAACAGTGCTTTTTAATGCTTTTTGTTCCTCTCGGTTTTATTTTGGGGGGGGTTTGCACTTTTGTTTCTTGGCAAAGTGTGTGCTAGACTTGAACTTGCACCTCTAGCATGAGCACCACAGTTCAGTGTGTCTGCACATTGGTACAGCTCATGTCCATACCACTAGGCCAAGGGTCTTGAACCTTTTCTGGCCTTTTTAAGTGGCCAAAAATTAATCACTGTGTTTTAAAGCATATTAATGTATTTACATACTTTGATTCTTCATTGCAGAGCAGAGTAATTGTGTATTATATGTGATTCTGGCCTTTTTAAGTGGCCAAAAATTAATCACTGTGTTTTAAAGCATATTAATGTATTTACATACTTTATGATTCTTCATTGCAGAGCAGAGTAATTGTGTATTATATGTGGCCCTGGACCACAACACCAGTCTTAAGTAGCACAGGTATATTTGTAGCAATAGCCAACAATACATTGTATGGGTCAAAATTATTGATTTTTTTTATGCCAAAACCCATTAGGATATTAAGTAAAGATCATGTTCCATGAAGATACTTTGTAAATTTCCTACCATAAATATATAAAAACTTAATTTTTGATGAAAAATATGCATCACTAAGAACTTAATTTGGACAACTTTAAAGGCAATTTTCTCAATATTTAGACTTTTTTTCAGTTCCAGATTTTCAAATAGCTGTATCTCAGCCAAATATTGTCCTATCCTAATAAACCATACATCAATGGAAAGCTTATTTATTCAACTTTCAGATGTATAAATCTCAATTAAAAAAAAAAACCCTTATGACTGGTTTTGTGGTCCAGGGTCACATATTTTAATTTGACTTAATTTTAATGGGATCTTAACTTTAGATTCACCCCCCTTTTAAAGAGGCTAGGCCAAGGATCCAGCTTTAACATTAACATAAAACAACACTTACAACCTATTTTAAAGCTGTAAGATGACATAATATTAAATTAAACAAGATATTCAGAGAGGATTGTTTTCTTAAAGGGGTCATATGATGCTATTTTAAAGATCATTATTTTGTGTATTTGGTGTAACAGAATATGTTGGCATGCTTTAATGTTTAAAAAACACATTATTTTTCAAATACTGTAATTATTGTAGGTCCTCTATGCCCCGCCTCTCTCAAACACGTCATTTTCAACAAAGCCCCCTCCTTTGACAAGCACAGTCTGCTCTGATTGGCCAGCTGACCCAGTGCATTGTGATTGGCCGAGCACCACAAGCACGCGTCAGAAGTCACCCTTACCATAATCGCGAGCTTCAGCTTTCAAAGTAAATATCAAGACAGTTAATAATATCGTTAGTTTTACCATCAGTTCAAGCCCGAAAGGGCAACAGAGTCGCGTGACAGACACAGTGATGAAGCAGTACACAAGCCGCGGTTAAGACAGCTGACGTGCTATGATTTCTGACAGGCAGTTCACTCTCCTGTGATGTGACCCTGTTCCCCTCACACACACACACACACACGACACGTTACTCTGCGCTGCGCAAAACTCCGCATTTGAACAGTCAATAGCAAATACTTAAACTGATAACAAAACATACTTGCAGTCGCTGATTCAGAAGCGCCAGATTGTCATAGCAAAGTCGGAATTTACCCTTTTTTCCCCCCTTTTTTTAAAAATAGCCTTTGTGCACAGCCAGCCTTGTACTCTTCTAGGTTCAAAAAAACTGTCATCCATAAAATGCGTTGCCCAAATTCGAACATCTGGGTTGTGCTGTTCTGTTGTAAATAAATCTTAACCAATGATTCCTAATTGCATCTACTTCCGGAAGGCCAAATAAAGTGCTTTTGCTTTCGCACTGAAATACACAGCGTCTCCCTGACATGGATGCATCAACACTACTGCTGTTCCTGAAACCACGCCTTCTTTCTTTACGTGCACATTTGGGCGCATTATGCTAATATTTCCACATAGTGATGTAGCTATGTGGGGGCGTGTTAGAACGAGCCGTTTTAGGTAGGCGTGGTTGACTCCTAACTTTTATAAAGAATATCTCTTTGGATTTGAGACTTTAATCTTTGCAACTTTACAGATCTTCTTTATGCAACAAGAGCTTTTAACACTCCAAAGAGAAAGGAAAACTTGAAATCGCATCATATGACCCCTTTAATGCAACATTGAATTCATTGAATTGCGAAAATTGAGTCTTAATTGGTGAGCATAAAGTCCATTATGTAGCACTACTATCCTCCTGAAACATGATCACAAAGGCAAACAAACATTTCAATCTTGGAAGAATCTTCATCTTGGAAGAATGTATGCTTATACTGTAAATCTTTCATAAGAAGACCAGGAACATATACTGTACATTACCATTCAAAAGTTTGTGGTCAGTATTTATTTGTTTTTAAAGAAATTAACACTTTTTTTATTCAGCCAGGTTGCTTTAATTTTATTCAAAAGTGACTTTTACATTGTTACAAAAGATTTCAAATAAACGCTTTCTATTCCTTTGAACTTCCTATTCATCGAAGAATCCTGAAAAAAGTGTTTCCCCAAAAAAGAATGTTAAGCAGCAAAAAATATTTTCAACCTTCATAATAAGAAAAGTTTCTTGAGCAGCAAATCAACATATTACAATGATTTCTAAACTCTATTTGTGATCAAATAAATGCAGCTTTGTTAACTTTTGAAAGGTAGTATAATTAGTGTCAATTTTGATGTCATGGTGACTAATATATGTATTATGAGTAAAAAAAAATAGAAAATGTTTTTTATTACGCACTGTTGGGTGACTCAAGCATTTTGATGACCTTCATTAATGCATTGCACACTGCTTGTGAGTGTAGTTGTGGTGCTCTGGATGAAAGAGGTAAGATGAAAGTCTTACGTCTTGCAATTCCACTGATTTAAACCGTTGTTGTGTGTCAGGAGGAGGCGTTGGGTCCTTTTCTCCAGCGCAGTTGTTCTACATGGCTCATTGAAGCCGTGGCCTTGAGAGGTAAAACACTGCAGCTACAAAGGGTTATGGCCTTTGATCTGTGACAACTGGAGAAAGGGGGGTGTGAAGACCAGAGAAAAGGACTGTGGGAGGAGGGCATCCCTTATGGATACTTGGACCAGAATTATAATTGTGTGTGTGTGTGTGTTTTATTGGGGGACGAGTGGTTAAGAGGCTATGTTATTAACTCGACCCTTCTCTGCTTTTTACACACACACACATAGATTTTTCCTCTGGTCTTATGATAGATAATACAGTCAGTGGTGTGCACCAGCACACATAAAGGTACTCAGAGCCTGACCTTTAGAGAGGAGCAGAGAGCACATTTTGTGTGGGGGGCTTTCATGTGCCCATACTTGTGTCTGTGTGTACATTGTGTATGTTCATCTTGGTTTGTGGTTCAGTGCAAGTGGTAATGTATGAGTGTGTGTATGTCTTTCAAGCCTCTGTCAAAAATAAAAAGGTTATACAGTCTATTTTCTCCACCCCGTACTAAGTAGCCCTCTATTCGGTAAAATCGGAGGACTTTGATGCTCTGACACTGATGAGGTCCTCAGAGTATATGAAGTGCTCTAGCTTGATGTCTTTGTTGTGTTTGTCAGGTCCAAAGATTAGGAGTGATCATGATCTTTGTCATGTCCAACTGAATATCACTGTACCATACAGAGCCAGTAATAAAGTGTATTTTTGCACAAACATAAATCAACATGCATGCATGAGGAGATATGTGCTTGTGTAAAATGCTGTGTATATAAATATTAATATATTAATTATATGACGTTCAAAAGTTGTTGTTGTTTTTGCATACTGTACTTGATTAAAAGTGATAGTGAAAACATTTATAATGTTACAAAATATTTTTTATTTAAAAAAAGAATGAAAAAAATCATCACGCTTTTCACAAAAATATTAAATTAATTAATGAATGAATACCTTTATTGTCATTTGTCCAACAGTACAAACAAAAATGTTCAAGTCTCTCATTCTAAAAAAATTTCACAAATCCCGTAACACACATTTGAACAAAGTGCAAATACTAACTACTAAACCATGTAAATATTTAGCAAATGAAAAAAAGGCATGTTTCTTAAGCACCAAGTCTGCATATTATATTTCTGAAGGATTTGTAACACTGAAAACAGGCAAAATGCAGCTTTGTCATCACAGGAATAAATTGTATTTTAAAATAAATTCAAATAGAAAGCAGTTATATAAAATTTCATAATATTACAGTTTTTATTGTATTTATAATCAAATAAATGCAGCCCTGGTGAGCATAAGAGACTATCAAAAACATAAAAAAATCTTACCAACAGAGTAGATTAAATATTGTTGATTACTGTGAGAATAACGTGAATTTAATTTCTCTTTCCCTTCCTTCTTTATAGATCATTGGTACGATCCCTCTGATGCCAAACTCTGTAGGACCTTCCAGCCAATCAGGGGGCGGCACTCCCTCACTGCAGGTCCAGCCAATCACACCGCAGCTGCTGACCAATGCACAGGGTCAGATTATAGCCACTGTGATTGGCAACCAGATTCTGCCAGTGATCAACACCCAGGGAATCACACTGTCACCCATTAAACCTGGACAGCAGGTATGCGGTGACTGTTTAAAAGAATGATTTTATGGCGTCTTGATTTACATTTTATATGAAGTACCTGAAAACATAATAAACATTTAAACATTTAAAGTGCTGAATATGACTCTGATGTGCTGACATTTTGTGAAATGTACATGATATATCCTAACAATCCCAAAGTAACCTATAATATACAACATCATAAAGCCAAAAATATGTTTAAGCCAGATACTGTATGCCAAGAAAACTCAATCATACAGCCCTTGCACAGTAACACTGCATTTAAAGGCCTTGCACCTATAATAATGCATAACAATAATCAAACTTTCATATAAATCATCCCCAAATAACAATGATCAAACTCTGATATCAAATAATAATCAAAAAGGTAGGAAGACAACACATTTAAAGAGCCTAACAACAGTGCAAAACACAACAGACTATACAGGCATGCATATTATTCGCCAACTCACCCTGTAATCTACAGCGGTCGACTATAAAAGCGTCTATAGGTCAACCTCATTTCTGTTGGATGCAACTCTATGTCATATTTACTGGAACCTTTGATCACAGACGTAAACGCAGTAATGCATTTATAATAATGTTTATGGATTTGTCTGCATTTCAATTGACTCCCAAACATTTCATGCAGCGATAATTTATGGCTGTCAAACACGGTGGCGGCAGAGAGATCCACTGAAGCTCGGTAATTCTCACAGACCTGTCGACAGTTCTGACAGTGTGTGCAACACTACTGACATCTCTCAGCATCCAAAGAAAAACACACTCACGCACAAACACAAACACACAGAGGAGAATTAATAGTGCAAGAGAACAGCAGAGAGAAGCCAACCCACTTTTAGACAGATGAGACGCTTGCTTTCTTGAAGAGTGGAGATGCACCATCTACAAGAGGCGCTCGATGGTGCATAAAACATGAAAATGTATGGTGCTGCAGTCATGCCACATTGCCCATAATAATGACTCGCATTGTAGTCACATAATTTTGATTTCTGGGCTCAGTAAACATGTGTGTTTTCCTTTTTGTGTTAAGGTTTCGGTGCTGAATAGCCAAACGGTGTCGTTCCTTTTGTGTACTTTAAAGTATCTGACAGCCGTGTTCAATGGGAAATTGAATGCAACCTCTATAATCTCCACCTGTCCACATTTCTCATCTCTAATAAACAGGCTATGAATTTCTAATAAAGGACTCAACAGTTGTACCTTGTAAACAACCACATGACTCCAAATCTGTTTTCTCTTGAAATAGCAATTAACCTCTTTATTTTATTTTCTGTAGTTTCATGATCAAATTGCATTTGCAAAATTTTGATGCATTCTGTATAGTATGTCCACAAATGCTGTGAAGAACATAAAAAATAAAACATTTTAGATAATAGAATAGTCACAAGATGAAAACAATGTGGTAACTATAAAATAAAATATTACTTATCGACCTTTTCTGTGTAAATGATATCCAATTCTACAACTTGTTTGCAATGATAACGTGTCCTCTTTAACCAAAAAAGGATGAGGAAAAGTTTGCAACTCAAATAATACTTGAGTTTTAACAGAATAATTCATGTGAGTGCTTTTGTAAAATTATAAGTTTCACATTTATGCTTTTAAATCCTCAAAAAAATTGACCCCATTCACTTCCATTATAAGTGGCTCACCGTAGCCTCAATTCTTTTTTAAACAAAACAGGGCTGAGTCCAAATGAATAGTAATCAACATTGTGCAACAAATGGTTTTGATTGGGTTTAACCTTGTGCTTGATCCTTAAATAGTACTTTATTACCTTGATCTGATCTACCATGGTAATTCATGTATGATATATATACTGGTAATATATATTAATCATACTTTTTTGTCAGAGCTTAATCTATTTACATTGTGTTGTTGTTCACCTACTTAAGTGTGTATAACAGCTCATGTGTGTATTTCCACAGCTGTCGCAGGCCGGTCAGACTTCACAGGCTCCTCCTGTGTCTCAGCCGAGTCTGCTTCGTATGCCCCACAGCCAGAGCCCCCTCCGCCAGGCCTCTTCCTCCTCCACAACATCGTCATCCTCATCCTCGGCTCTGAGCGTCGGGCAGCTAGTCAGCAGTGAGTGTGCAGCATACCTCTACATGTTAGCTGGTGGATATATGTTTTTTAGATGAGTGTTAACTAAAATATTCTGCCTTTTCATTCTGTTTTTATCAGATTTTAGTTGATTCTGTCATCTAGCTGACCAAACTGTAGACCTAATGAATGGAAGGTTGTGTTTAGAACGACTTTGGCCTCGAGAAGCACCACATATAAATCACTCCCTCCAGCCTGTCAGAGCCCTTTTAAAAACTGTTTTACTTAGATATATTCTCATTTGTCATAGCCAATTGGCCTAAAACCATCTGCAATGGAGTTTTAAATTCAATAAACAGGAAGTTGCCATTGATCAACTTGCTGTGGATATAACCAATGGTGTGTTGTGTTTTCATTATTTTTTTTTTTCATTTTGTTTTGTTCAAAACATTCACAATACCTTTAGTATTCTCTATTCATTTCATCAGTTTACCGCTGTGGCACAGCTCTCCATGCCAGATTGTGTTTGTAGCGATGTCCTTGGCTAACGTTAATTCCCCAGAACATGTTTTGAATGGGGGGGGTCTGACTGACCCCACAGCCACCACATTCAGCTCAGATGGAAAAAATGGCTTATTTTCAAGGACCGTGCACGTTTTGCATTTGGCAATTCTTTTTTTCGTATTTTATTTGATGTGGTGGAAATCATAATAACAGTATCAAATCAAACTTTTGGGTTGAGACATGAAATCGGGTTATGGTTGTCTTTTTGGGGTCAAATTCTTAAATCTAAGAACATTATTTAAAAGGAATTCATTTTTACAGTTCAGCAATGAACACAACAACAAGGCAAAAGGCAATGTTCCCTGACAAGTTTGTCATAAATGATTATTATGTGGTCAAAATACAAAACTGCTGCATTTAACTCAGTTTAATATTGCACAATATTTAACATTTTCAATATTGCACAGGAGCAAGTTCAGGTTTCAAAATCTGATTTGCATGTGAGGAGTGACAGGGTGCTGGTTCAATAGATTTTGACTTTAAATATGTCTGATGGATTCTTTTAATAATTCATTCATAATGACGCCCATGAATTATTTAGTCGGCCAAAATTTTCTTATGTAAGCAAGATGTAAGACCACCTGGCAGTGATGCATAATACCCAATCACGTTTTATTATCCTAAAATGCCGTCTTGAAACTACAGACCCTGAAGTGCATTTCTAAAGCTGCTAAATGAATCAAATTGAAATTGAATCTTTGCATACCTCTGTCTTTTATAACAAAATGACCAATAATAAAGCCTAAAATGAATATTCATTGCTTTCACAAAGGCATTTTGAATGCAATTCATGGAAGGATTCATTTGAGAAGTGTAATTCCAGCTTGCCTAATAAGAACAGATTCATTTTAAATGTCACTGGCTTTTACACTTTTATGTAAGCCTGGAAATCAGAAACCATATCTTAAGAAAAATATGTCAATGGTTGGAAAATAACACAGGAATAATAAATGAATGGAAGCTATTTTGAAGTCTTGGCATATTATACTTAAATTCAGTTATGCATTTACTCTCTGAAGACACTCGAGATATTCCTGTTATATTAGATCATGCAAGATAATAACAAGAAGATGAAGACAAAGTCAAAACAAAAGCATAAGTGCAGTATATTGAAAACGTAAACTGAAATGATTTCATAGAAATTGTCTTTTATTCAAGCATCTGCTTGAAATGGCAAGAAGGTCTTCAATGTCGATATAAAATACAGGCAAAATTGGAGTAACATTGCATTGTTTCAAGGTTATGAATTTGTGAATGGAGAGTTGCAGCTTTATTCTTTCTCGTCTGTTTTACAGATCCTCAGACTGCCCCCAGTGAGGTGGATGGTGTGAACCTGGAGGAGATTCGAGAATTCGCCAAAGCGTTTAAAATTCGCCGGCTGTCTCTGGGTCTGACTCAAACTCAGGTGGGCCAGGCTCTCAGTGCAACTGAAGGACCTGCCTACAGCCAGTCTGCCATCTGCAGGTATGGAGGTCTAACAGCTATAACAATATTTATATAATAATTAAATTAAATAATATTTATATAATAATTTATATTTTATTTTATAAAAAACAAAACAAAAAAACAATTAGATATGAAGTAAAATGTATGTGTGTATATATATATATATATACGTATGTGTGTGTCTGTGTGTGTGTGTGTGTGTACCTGTTGTTCTATTCTGGTGGGGACTTAATCCTGAATACACACAGACTCATGGGGACTCATTTCACGGTGGGGACCTAAATTGAGGTCCCGACGGGTAAACAAGCTAATAAATCACTCGGAATGAATTTTTTTTTGAAAATCTAAAAATGCAGAAAGTTTCCTGTAAGGGGTAGGTTTAGGGGTAGGGTTGGTGTAGGGCAGTCGAAAATACGGTCTGTACAGTATAAAAACCATTACGCCTATGGAGAGTCCCCACAAGGATAGCAAACCCAGACGTGTGTGTGTGTGTGTGTGTGTGTGTATATTTTTTTTGTGCAAACCATAACTTAATCAATATCATAATCAATAGATAGGTAGATAAATAGTAGTCTACTTTGCACATTAGTGTCACCCAGGTTTACATACAAGTAGTACCCTATTTATATTTAACTACAAATAATTAAGGTGTTAAACAGAGATGTTAACTGATGTGCAATTTATGTCAGACCCATCTGTTTTAGTCCTATCTGTGCCTGTCTCCACTCATCTTTGCACTGTCTATATGAAAAGATTCAGTTACTAATGTAAAATGCATCAGCTGTGGTATCACAAGAAGCACTTAAACCACTTAATTTCTAAGGTCCATTGCCATGTATTCACATGACATTTAGCTGAAAGGAACCTGACAGGGCTTGACTTTTAATGAACGTGGTTTTCCACAGTGGAACGGCAAAACAGATTTGGGCATAAACTGGGACATTTTGTAACATTAGTAAATCAAATATTTAACATCATCATTATAGTGCAAATTCTGTTTTTCATTGAGGGGACTTAAGTAGTTCCTGTATTCATCAGGAGAACATTTGCACCAAAAAGAGGACAAATGTGATGCCAGATTACAGTAAAGTTTCTGCGCTGGAAATAAATAAGGATAGGAATAAGAAACTAATTTCTAAATAATATATTTAGGTAGATTATTTATAAATAATATTTTTTTATGTGTTTAATTTTTGTTGTTGTTGATCTTGAGGGGTCAAGTAAATTGATATGTAAATGTTAAATTTTTAGTACCTAGAATTAGTAAAGAAGTGAATATATGATTTAGTACAATTAATTGGAAATAAGTTAAAATAATGTATTTTTTAAATTGTGAGATACAGTATGCTCTGAGTATATCTTTTACATTTATGATCGTTCTCACAACATAAACAAGGGTTTTGTGCCTGTAATACTCTACAAAAGTAATACAAAATGTACCGTATTCAAGGAAAGTGCAAAATAAGCAATATGAACAATACTCAAAATAATAAAAACACAACACGCATTAATTATACGTGATATAAAATTACTCAAACCTTGTTTGAATGAACTTGCCACACATCATCTCTGTGTGACACATTAAGGTTTATAGTTCAGAGTTTTCTGTTTCCTTTTCATTTTAATGCAGAGGGATTGCAAAAGGCTTATGGATCGTCTGATGAGACACTTGTGTTTATCTGACATGCCGCCATCACACGCTTTTTAAAATTTTATCATATCAGCAACGAACGGCCGATAAAACCTGAAATTGCTCGGTGGAGGGAGAGTGAGGGAATTCCTTATGAAGCTTCAAACTAGTGCAGAAAGTCTTAAAAATCCTGCATGAAATATTTAGCCGCATGCATTATTTAGATATTTATAGCATACATTAAAAGCCATTAGTTTCCAAAATAAACAGGTGATGTGATGTTTTTCTCTATATGCGTCCTTTCATCTCGTCAGAAGGGAAGGGAGGATTTTTTTTCATTATTTGTTCATTTGTATGACATTGGACATGACAGTGTGCAGAGTGTTTTTGGCTTTAAAGGCGCAGACTTCACATGCTTTAGTTTAGTTAACATCAGCAGAGACGAGAGGGGAAAGAGGTGAACGCGTTTTCGCTTGTGAGTGTGTGAGCTCTTGGGGCTCTTGTAGTCTTTGCTCAGTCAAACTCGGCCTGACAGATGTCTCTATCTTGTCCGATCTCATAGTTCACAGCGGAAAAAAGCTTTATTGGTTCGTCTGAACAATCACAAAGGTGCATCGTCAAACTGATCAGAGACAGAGGTCATTATTAAAGCCCGGAGAATCCAGATGCCTTATGACTGATGTGAAGCATTTGACATCACTGCAATGAAATCAGAAAATACACATTTGACATACTCAATTTATTGAGAATAAGAATATAGTAAATACTGTAGATAAATATTCAAATCTTATTATTATTATTATTATCGTTTGTTTAAATCTGTTAAATACACCATACTCAGTGCGTCAAATTAAATTTTTCTCCTTTTACACAGAGTGGTTCACAGCCGTTCTTGGCACAAGCCCTCTTTTGCATGCACCGTTGCACACGGATGCTCATAAGATGTCATATCATCACATAATTGCGAGATGGGAATCGCTTTTCCACTTTTAAGCCGTGTGGATTTACAACATTAATCCACATTAAAAACACTGGATTCACATCAATGATTCATCTTTCTCAGGCTGCAAAGCTGCCATCTATAATTTGCACGACAAATTGGGCAGAAGAGCTGTATGTATATTTAATCAAACCTACTTTTCCCACTGCAGTTTGCTCGCTTCATTTCTATCTCAAGACTGCCCTCTTTATTCATCTAAAAAAAAAAATCTGTTCTTACCGGACGTCTTTTGAATGGGAAGAGCAGAGAAAATTGTATCATATATATTTAGTAAATGTTCCGATCAAACCTTTGAAATTGTGTCTCAAACATCCTTGACATAGTGTAGATGTTATTAACTGCATTACTTAAATTTATGATTTGAGTCTGGAGTTGGAAAATATATATATAGATAATAAGACACACAAGCACACACACACACATATATATATATATATATATATATATATATATATATATATATATATATATATATATACACACACACACACACACATATATATATATATATATATATATATATATATATATATATATATATATATATATATATAAGAATTTAAGAATGCATTAAATTGCTTAAAAAGACATAATAATAATTTATAATGTTACAAAAGATTTCTTTCTCAAATAAACATATTAAGCAGCACAACATTATACATATAACAGAATGATTTCTGAAGGATCACACTGACGAATGGAGTAATGAAAATTAAACTTTTGCATTACAGGAATAAATTACATTTTAAAATATATGCAAATAGAAAACAGTTCCTTTAATCTGTTAATAATATTTCACAATACACTGTATCTTTGATCAAATAAATTCATCCTTGATGCGTATGAGAGACTTTTTAAAAGTGTATACCAATGTCACATTTATTATTGACCAATTATTGAACAATAACAATTATCCCTGCTCTTTCCTCCTTTTCTGAAAATAAATGAATGAATTAATAATAACAATACATTAAAAGAATAATAATATTGTTACTGCTACAACCCAACCCAGTTTTATATGACTATGATAAGGCTTTGATTTTTGTTGATTCTGTTTCCTGTTCCACCTGCATTAGCATTATTATATGTCCTGCTCTCTCTCTCCAACCAGAAGCTGAACATTTTCACTTATTTCTAGTATTATTGCAGTGAACAGGATCTAAAATTAGGAAATTGAATAAAACATGACTTAATAAATAAGTTGGCATATGCCTGGACTCCGGTATTGTTTCCTGTTCGGTTGGATTTAACAGGGTGCTGTCACTCATCTCCGTGCTGAAAAAAAAACGTCTGCGTTTGAGGACCTGGGAGAGCGAGGGCCTTTGCCCGTGCTTCAGGCGTCTTTTCAAATGCCAGTTAAGATTCCATCAAAGGCCTCCGCACAGGAGCCTGTCCAGGAGTTCAGGACCAAGAGAGAATATGTGTTGTTTCAGAGAGCAGTAGTTCACCTCTCTCCCCTCTCTCAGCTGGGCTTTTCTCCATCTGCCTGACAGATGTCCATGTGTTGGATAGGAGCGCAGGTCAGGAAACTCACTGAAACATCTCTCCATTAAAGTCTGTACAGACACACTTTGGAAATATCCCCATTCAGTGGAGTTATTGGAGACAAAAGCTCTTTTTATGGATCTTCTGTAACTATACACTCTGTGGTTGGTTATACAGGCTTTAGATCAGATCGGTGCTTCTCAAGAGGTTTTGAGTTTACATTGACATCAAGTAGAGACAGACCACTATTTTTTTTTTTAACCATGGCTCAACAATATGTTAAATATCTAGGGCCAGTTTTACACAACAGGGCAAATTAGCACGAGAGCGCAATTCCAGCGGCAATCCGGGTGATTTACTGACAACACGCAAATTAAAGAAAGCAGACACATCTCATTTCCATAATGACCAACGCAATCTACCAAGTGCAGCGCAAATTAGCGTAAGGATATTTTCGGATTCGGATAATGTGTTCTTCTGGCATTCCAAATAAATTCATACATGTGGAAAAAAATCCTCTCTCTTCTACCACGAGCTCTCTGTTCTCTGCGGTGCCATTTGAAGCGCAAAATAGTTTAAGACATGCTTTTTTTGGTCGTTAAATAATGGTGCAAATAGCAGTAATCTGACAAGCGCAACATTAGTAAATCGCATTGCGTGATTCATTTTAATACTCTCCTCTCATAAATTTTGTGTCTGAAAGGGAAACACCGACAAATGCATATTCTATAACGTCTGACGCAAAAAAAAAAACTGTATACGCCTTTTCAGCGCTAATTCTTCACTGCGCGTCTTAAGCAGGGGCGGATTTAGTGAATTGGGGGCTCCAGGCAAAATATAGGAATGAGGCCCTATACATTTGCACACATTTTCCTAGATCAACCTTGAGGTTCCTTTTTTTGTTGTGATGCTTGCTGCTGCACAATGGTGCCCTATAGTTGTGTCCAATGTTTCTACATTTTTCATGTACATGTTATAATGGCTTTCTTTCATGTTGTAGACCACGAAATAGCAACTGATTTACAGTTGAGATACAGGTTTTCACAAAAATAAAATACATTTTAAAATGATAAACCTCACAATTGCGTTTAAACCAGGGATGAGCCAGAAGTATAAACGGGGCTATGTGGGTGGATTTTCGCATTGATCTGAACAAAAACTACAGACTGGATAATTGAAAATGAACATTCATTCTCTGCCAGTAGGAGGCGCTTTTGTAACGTCAGAAATATAGAATGAGAAAAAAATATAGCCTGTATTGACGAGGAAAGTCCACTGACTCTTTAGTAAATCCTGACAGTACTATTTTAACACCAAAAGATGGTTTGCGCTGGTGCCAGCTGTCTGGCCCAAAGGCTGAAAAAATTATATATATTTGTTTGTCAATATAATATAAAATTATGGAATTATAAGTTATAACATTACATTTAAAATAATTTCTATTATATTCATGAAAGAATTCATAATTATAGAAGCAATGCTTAATTATACTAAAAATAAAATGAATATAATATGAATCATTATTAATGATTTTGTGTATATATATATCCACCTCCCTTCTTAAAATTTCGATTTGGCACAGTTAGTTTATTTTGTTCTTTGCTTTTTAAATGACCTTCTTAAGACAAAATCTTGTCCACTCACAATTCAAAACAATTCCCATAATTCAGTGAAAACCGAAATAAAAAGCCACATAGTGTACTAACTAGTGTACCGTTACCAGGAATATATTAGCAGTAGTTTTTTTTTTTACAGAAAGCAACGTTTCTGCAGCATTAGCAAAGACCTAAATATTAGACTGATTTACCTCCCTGGAGACCCCATAAACTTGCAGACATATTCAAAAGTGAAGGTGAAAATGTATTCGCATTAAACATTAAATGAACATCAGGGTGGCTTGAGGAAGACGGAAAAGTTGGAGAAGTGTATTAAAATGTGTGTGCGTTTGAGTGAATAATTTAAGCCGTTTGTGAATTAATAATGCTTTTAATGTTTTATTGCATGCTTGTGTTATTTATTTGACAATATGTATTAACATTTCTCACAGAAGATATAATTCCTAATCGTACTGTATGTGATGCCATCTGTGGATCTAATTGTACAGAAGAGCTAGACAAGACAAATGCAAGGCCATTAAATGAATTCATTCTTTATGATATCAGTCAGGTGCTTGTTTGTTTTTGGACCGGCCCATGGAAGAGTCCTCTTGGTTCAATGCATCATGGGTACAGAGAGTCAATCAAAGCAACACATGAAGGAACATGCTGTACTGGAATGTACAAACTAGCTCTTTGGGCTTAGATTAAATCATTTCCCAGCACGCAACAGCTGAAGCCATGCGGTAGAAGCCATGAAACACTCTGTCCCATTGGCAGCCTGAACCAAGAGACCCCTTCTTCTGGGCAACTGGGTCAGACAGGAAACCCCTCACCCGGTCTGGGCACTTGAGTAAGCTTGTTCTCTCTCAATTCTCCCCCAGACACACCATCCTGAGAAGCCACTTTTTCCTACCACAGGAAGCCCAAGAGAACACTATAGCTAGCAGTCTGACAGGCAAACTGAACCCTGGCCTTTTATATCCTGCCAGGTTCGAGAAGTTGGACATCACCCCAAAAAGCGCCCAGAAGATTAAGCCCGTGCTGGAGCGCTGGATGGCCGAGGCGGAAGCCCGCCATCGCTCCGGTATGCAGAACCTGACCGAGTTTATCGGCAGCGAGCCCTCCAAAAAGCGCAAACGCCGGACCTCTTTCACGCCGCAGGCCCTGGAAATCCTCAACAGCCACTTCGAGAAGAATACTCACCCCTCCGGTCAGGAGATGACGGAAATCGCGGAGAAACTGAACTATGATCGCGAGGTGGTGCGCGTTTGGTTCTGCAATAAGAGGCAAGCATTGAAAAACACTATAAAGAGGCTTAAACCGCCCGAGCTCGGGCCGGTCGCACCGATGGACCCTCTGGTTGATAATATGGAGGAACACCCTTAGCTTGATACGAGCGCCATGAGGCGAACACGCTTCTGATTTTGTGGACTTAAAGACCTGGACAATTGCTATCCGATGCACCATCGACTGGATGAACTGTCAACAAAGGCAAAAATAAATATTTGTCAGTGTTATCATCACAAAAGCAAAAACCAAAAAAGTTCAGAAAAAAGAGAGTTGTATGAGAATTATAGTACTGACTCGTAAGCAGATTGTGAGGAATAAAGAACAAGGATCTTGTTTAAATCAAGGATGGTGAAGAAACTACTTACCAAAGTTTGTTGCATCTGATACCTGAGGTTTTTTTAATTGTAAATGTGTTTTACATTTTTACATTTTTACTGGGGAAAAAAACAAAAACAAAAAAGAAAGAAAGAAAAAGATTCATGTGATGGGGTAGATGGGTGTGACATTTGATCTTTGTCTTATTTTATCACTTGGGTTTTTATGTAAATATTTCTGAAACTACTTACCAAAGTTTGTTGCATCTGATACCTGAGGTTTTTTTAATTGTAAATGTGTTTTACATTTTTACATTTTTACTGGGGAAAAAAACAAAAACAAAAAAGAAAGAAAGAAAAAGATTCATGTGATGGGGTAGATGGGTGTGACATTTGATCTTTGTCTTATTTTATCACTTGGGTTTTTATGTAAATATTTCTGATAAACTGTCACCAAATTGAAATCACAAGTTCCAAAAAAAAAAAATCTTTGAGAAGTTTATTTCAAAATTGTCACATTTCTGCTGTCTGTAAGGCCATTGTCAAATGTGTCATCTCCCTCTGTTCATAAACATTAAGGCATCCGTCATGAAAGAGTGCACTTGGGAGGAATATTTCGCAAAGAGATTCTCAGTGAACATGCCACAGATATCCACACTCGTTGCAGCTGTAATTAAAGCTATTGAATGGTGTTGCCAAAGTCTCCTAGCCAAAGAACAAGGACATTGTATGTCATACCTTGGCCTGAACCATTTTATCCTTTTCATGTGATCGGATGATTTTATTTTTAAAAGCAAAGGGTTACGGTTTTATTTTACTTGTCATGCTCGACAAAAAAATATATACATATATACGGTATATTTACATATAAAGATTTCAAGTAAATGAGATGAATTACTTTTAAAGATTTCACTTGGGTTATGCCAGTTATCTTTTGTCTGTGTCTTTTTAAGGTTTTTGGGTGCAAAAAAGTCTCCTTTCTCAGATGGAAATGACTGGAAATACTCATTTTGGACATATTTGAATATACACCTTAATATATTAAAATGTCCCAGATACTGCACCATCCTACAAACCTTCAGCCCATCTTACAGTTAGATTTAGAGTAATTTTATGAATTGTTTTCCTTTTTATTGTATAGTTCTTATACTGTATAACAAGCATTCCAAATGAAAATAAAAGTAGTGGTCAACTGGTATCTAAAAAAGCAAGATGATCGATATAACACTGATGTTAAAATAGCCTAACAGTTCAATGATAGCGATGGTGCTGTGGACATGATTATTCAATGATATCTCGCAACCAATTTGTACGCATTTTACGAGGTGGCTAATTCGTACACTCGTACGATTTTGGCAGGCTTAGGGGTAGGCCATTCGTACAAATTCATACGAATTACCCACCTCGTAAAATACGTATAAATGGCCATGAGATCAGCTTGGAATATTCACTTCATACCTAAAGACAACAAAGAGAATAAAAATAGTCAGTTTACAAATAAATTAAGTCTTTTCCTGCAACATTAAAGATGAAAAATGTTTGGAATTAGCTCTATGGCATTTAAATACTTTTCAACAGGCAATTTGCTGAAAACTACTCCGTATTTCCAAAAGCAGCGATGATCATGTTGATAACAATCCTATAATTTTACTGGTTTGCAAACCTTTTGAGGTGTTTATACTAATGTAATTCATCACAATGGGCATAGTTACAGAAAAATTGTCTTGCTTCTGTCAGCTACGTAACCGATATCTTGACTCGCATTAAAAGAACTGATTGCATTGACTCAACTCATATCGTATAAGATGACATTCCCCCAGCCCGGTCATTTTCACGAATTCAGAAGCATGGCATTTGTGTGTGGTTGCAGAGACATGACGTCTTAAGGTATACAGGCTTATGAAATAAAGCTGTAACCAAAAATTAAAACCAAGAGACGAGAATCGAAGTTCTGCCTTTGCTCATCTTTTCAATGCTGGACCAAAGCTCAATAGTTTTATGCACATTGTACAGAGAAATGGCTAAATGTCGCTGACAATCTTGAAATATGTAACTGATTGAAGAAAACTGATTAAATGGAGTATATCATTAAAATTACCTCAGCACTGTCCTGCTAAGTAGTGAGCAATGTCATAACATGGTACCTTTCTGCAAAGGTTCACAGCAAAACACAAAGGACTTATGTATATGTTTGTAAGTAGTTTTTATGACCATCTTAGATTGATTCTCACCTGCGTTTCTTTACGATGTGCTTTCCAGGGTCACGTGTATAGAACAGACATTGCTACATGACTTCCTTCTATTTTATTGTTTCTGCAATGTTGTTTGTTTTTTCTCCTTTCACTATGTAAGATACATTTTTGAGTTTAATTGCCTGGAATTGCCCCGTATAAATGGGGAACAAAGAAAACTTTGCGGTTCAACTCAACTGTTTTTGAAAGATGATGGAAAACCTTTGGAGATTTATTGAAGAACACACACTGGTATACATACACGCATAAACACACACACACGCAGTCGAGTTTGAAATGTTGTTATTACTCTCAAGACCTCGAAACCAAAGCTGTTTAACCTGCTAAGGATGCTTTAAATTTTATAGACTGAAAACTGTATGTATTATATAGAGCAATATCTGTTCGGTCAGTTGAGCTGCACTTTGTGTATTTCTTAACAGCTTCAAGTCTGTCACATTAATTTGTATCATAATAATTAATAATAAACAATTGTTTGACATGAAACACAATGGCTGCATTTCTTACTATAGAATATTTTACACAGCATTGTAATTCACATAAAAAAAAATTAATCCAGATATAATATCCAGATAAAAGTATACCATATTTGTGAACCTGGACCACAAAACCAGTCTTAAGTCGATGAGTTATATTTTTAGCAATAGCCAAAAATGCATTGTATATTGTAATAACACAATTATTGTTTTTTCTTTAATGCCAAAAATCATTAGGATATTAAGTAAAGATCATGTTCCTTGAAGATATTTTGTAAATTTCCTACTGTAAATATATTAAAACTTAATTTTTGATTAGTAATACGCATGGCTAAGAATTTAATTTGGACAACTTTAAAGGTGATTTTCTCAATATTTAGATTTTTTTGCACCCTCAGATTCCAGATTTTCAAATAGTTGTATCTCGACTAAATATTGTCCTATCCTAACAAACCATACATCAATGGAAAGCTTATTTATTCAGCTTTCAGATCATGTATAAATGTCAATTTTGAAAAATGGACCCTTATGACATGGTTTTGTGGTCCGGGGTCACATTTAAAGATATAAAGGAAGATAAAAAATGATACCAATAAAGTGAATACTACTATTATGCTGCATTCACACCTTGTTGTAATTACTATAAATATGAAGACAACCTGTGATGTTATATTTGGATCTGTTCACAATTATGTATTTCTATGGCAACAGTATTAATGCTAAAATGAATCTGTAATTGAGTAATCAATAGACAAAACTACAATACATCAAATAACAGTCGTTATGCAAATCAGAATGAGCTTTATGAGCTCTAGGCTCTTAAATACCTAATAAATAAACTTATTTTTAATTTATCAAGACATTACATTGAACTGTATTGCATGTATTCAAACAAGATTTCTCATCAATATTAAAAAATATGTATATTTATTTTACATCATAGGTTTTTTTTGTGTGTGTGTGTCGTTCGTGTGTCATTTTGAATTTCAAAGAATTTCTCAATTTTTAAAATGAAAAACAGGTAAATGCAGTAATAACAAGGTAATAACGTATTAACTACCTTTAAAAATGTTCACTCATTCACTCATTAAGTTGCTGATCACATACAATAAGGTTTTAGCTGAAAAATATTTTTTTTCAAAACATTTAAAAGTTACGACTTTTATGAAACACAGATTCTTTGGGTCCAAATGGATTTGGAATGCAAAAAAATTGTATGGGGATTTTGAATGCATTATGAAGATTATGTCGCAGGTCAGCTGAATTATTGAAATTCAATGGACACTTCCCTCTCTCACACAGTCTCTCAGTTCTTTCATTACTAAAAATCAGCATTCAAGTTCATCCTGCCTGTTTTTTATCAACTAGTATCATTTATCAGAGATCTTCACCCCTACGCCACTAAAGTCATGCACAGCTTTAGTGCAGGTTTTTCAACTTCAGCGATAAAACTACAAAGACTAGAAACGTTATATAACAACTATAAAACAACAAAGGCTTAAAAGCTATATGATGGTGAATAATAGCTATGTAGTGATGGTAAAACTTTAAATTACTTGCACATAGTTCAAATGATGCCTCAGAAACTGTTGTCACATAGCAGAGTGGTGGATTCACAACAGCGAACATTCATTCTGCAAAACAATCCCATTTAGACTTTAAAAGAAACGTTGTCCAGCTATTTTAACCATGTTAAACCCACTTTATTTCCCAGTAATTCGTCTCTTCCTCTGAACAATTTCACTTGGGTTATGCCAGTTATCTTTTGTCTGTGTCTTTTTAAGGTTTTTGGGTGCAAAAAAGTCTCCTTTCTCAGATGGAAATGACTGGAAATACTCATTTTGGACATATTTGAATATACACCTTAATATATTAAAATGTCCCAGATACTGCACCATCCTACAAACCTTCAGCCCATCTTACAGTTAGATTTAGAGTAATTTTATGAATTGTTTTCCTTTTTATTGTATAGTTCTTATACTGTATAACAAGCATTCCAAATGAAAATAAAAGTAGTGGTCAACTGGTATCTAAAAAAGCAAGATGATCGATATAACACTGATGTTAAAATAGCCTAACAGTTCAATGATAGCGATGGTGCTGTGGACATGATTATTCAATGATATCTCGCAACCAATTTGTACGCATTTTAC